CAAAAACTCTAGCTATCGAGATCCCAACCAGGGTGTTTTTATTTACTCTGTTTAAAGAACAGAAACATAGTTTAAGATACGAGGTGCATTCTCTATTACTATGGCCACAAACCAAGCGAGGCTTTGCTACCTGTTAAATTCATTAAAATATAATACAAAACCTCTGTGCCTATGTTAGTCAACTTTCCTGTTGCTTGGGCCAAACACCCAACACCTACAGATTTAAAGAAAAGAAGGTTTATTTGTCTCATGTTTTCCCAGCTTTTAGTTCACGATCATCTGGCTTCAGATAGGTACATCATAGTGAAAGAGTTTGGTAGAGCAAAAGTGCTCTGTTCATGGTAGCCAGGAAGCAGAGAGGGGAAGAGGGCAGCCAGAGAGGAGCTTTCCAGGGACCAGATACAGACCCCAAGTCACACTTCCACGACCTACCCAGACCATCCAGAAGTGATTTATTAATCCTTTGGGTATCTCCCAAGCCAGTCAAGTTGACCAGCCCAATGGCCACAGTTCCTCAGTTGGCACTAGGTGCAGTTCAAGAGCTCAACAGCCATTTGTAATCAATGACTACTTTTAACAGACAACACTGAGTACGTTTCTGTCCCTGAAGAGTGCTAATGGATAGGGCCATAGCAGTGAGGTAGAACTGAAATGGGAAGGGAGGTCAGACAGAGTGGCTTGGAAAGATCATAAGGCTTGTCACGAGGACTCTGAATTCTGCAAGGGCTATTGGGAGCCTTGGGATGGTTTGAAGTAGGGGAAAGAAAGTTATCATTCATCTGCATGGAAAATGGATTATGAGAGGGTAAGACCCACTGATTATTGCAGTTGCTCTACCCAGGGATGGTGGTAAGTCGTTGGTTAGCTCTTTTACAAGGGGGATGGTGAAATGTAAATGAATCCAGGATATATTTTAGAGGTAGAATGAAATGAATATCTTAATAGACTGGAAGTGAAGCAAGATCAACAGAAAAGAATCAAGGGCAATGCCCTCTTCTGAGACTCGAGCAGCTGGAGAGGTGGTTCTTTATGTTCTTTACTGGGCCAAGAGAAGACTGAGGAGAAATACTTTGGACGGGGTGGTGGTGGTAGGGGTTGGAGGAAAGGTGTTGGAAGAATTTTGATATAGATGCATTCTGCTCTGGGTCTCCATCGTATATAAGTCTGAGGTCAGGTGGAAGTGGAGAATGAAGGAACTCATATCAGAGAGTGTGAACTTTAAAAGTTTTACAAAATAACTCCCTTAAGCATAACTGTATCTGGGAAAGTACAGATGATTTGCAATAGGGTCAAACAACTTCAGAAAGAACAATACAGTAAAACTGCACTAACTAGATTTGACTGACTGAAGAGCTTGATCAAGTCAAATTTGAATTTTTCTTTCTCTTGTCTATTCTCCACTACTTTTTCTTCTTGTTCTTTTTTTTGGGGGGGTTACCAGGATTGACCTTGTGCTTGGGAGGCGTTGGCGACACCACAGGACTAACTCTCAGGCCCTCCACTACTTTTTCTTTGTACAGTTTCTTTATTCTTGGGTAGTGTTGTCACTACTTTATTGGTAACACGGGGGATTGAACCCAGGGCCTTCACATTGAGCTACGTTCCCAGTCTTAATTTTGAGTTAAGGTCTCACTGATTTGCTAAATTGCATAGGCTGGGCTTGAACCCGTGATCCTCCTGCTTCAGCCTCCCAGATGCTGGGATCAAAGGTGTGCGCCACCACACCAGGCATATATCATGATTGTCTTGAATTATGATTCATCATTACCTGCCAGAAGTAGGCAGTATTTATTCACAGTTGCTTAATTTATGTAGTGTGGCTTACGACACTGTCTGCTCAATGTCCGTTGCCATTTTTTACAGTTATATAGCCCTGTATATTTGTCATCTGATTTGAGTGTTTTGGTTTTGTGTCTTTGGTGTTTAGATGGTAATGGGGAGAAAAATCTACCTTCTTTTCTTCTGGTGGGGCAAATAACTTTCTGATTGTGATTTTGGGAGAGAGAGAGAGAGAGAGGGAGAGAGAGAGAGAGAGAGAGAGAGAGAGACCGAGAGACCTAATTGCCAGGGCATTGCATCTGCTATTCAGCAATTCAAGGATGTGCCTAAATTACAGACCTCCTATTCTTGTTTTGCTAATAACAACAAATGATATTTTTCTATTACATCTTTTAAAAAGTCTCTTTCTATCCCTTAAGAGTTCAATTTTATGATAATATTATATCGTCTTTTCTAAACAACCAAGATAAGCGTCCAGGACAGAGAAAACCGACATGTCCTAAAAATCCCCTCACCATGCTTTTCTCTTAATACATTTTCAGATTTTTAGAGGGTTTCAATTTAATATGCCACTTTTTGAGACCAGTGCGGGATAATCGTGGGTTTCCAGGCACCGGTTTTCTACTCTGGAGTGTCCCAGGTGGGACCTGGCACAATACTCGTGTCTAAAAAGGAAACTCAGGAACGTATGTGCGCATGCTCCGGGGCTCATGAACCAGATAGTGCCCGTTGCTTCTGAGGAGCTGCCCAACTCGCACTTTTGTGTGGCAGCGCAGTTCTGGACACGTGACGGAGGGACACTGTCCCCTTCCGTCTTCTTCTGCCCATTTATGCCATCACATTAACATTAATATCTGCCTTCAGCTAGAGAGGGCTCTTTCCCAAGAAGTGAAATCTGTGACTCAAGCCATCTTCTCTCCTCCCCCATAATAATTTTATTCAAGTATCTCCTTTTGGCCCTTTTGTGTTTCATCTCTGCACACAAAATACAATGGCATACTGAACCAATTATCCAGATACTCCAGGCTATAAACACACTTTAACCCGGAATGTCTAGCTAATTAAGATAAAATTGATTTGTTAATGTTCTTATCGAGAGAAAATGACATCTAAGATAGTCATATGAAAATGGGCAATCATTTTATGAAAGGAATATTGGCACTTTTAAAAATCCAGTGAACAGACACTAAAATTTTTTTCATAAACTGCAAAAATGGTTATTTTTTTATCTTCTCAAATACTTTCTACTATAATACATGTAATACTTAGCAAAGCATTGGCTATTTTTTTCTCTGAAACTTCCTTCATTGCAGGTGTTGTATCTCACTATGTGGACCTACAAATCTTCAAGCTAATCTTTTTTGGGGGGTGGTACCGGGGATTGAACTCAGAACCTTGCACTTGCAAGGCAGGCGGCAGAACCACCGAGCTAAATCCCCAGCCCCTGGACCTACACATCTTCTTGAGGCCATGGTCCTCTAATAGAGTGATTTTTTACTATCCACAGTCAAACTGTTGATTAAAACTAATACTCTAGATTTTTTAAAAGTTAGATTAAAAAAAGAAAGAAAGAAAACGAACAAAACCCAACTATGCGGGGCCTCCTCGTCTCTTTAATACCACTGGGTCAAGACAACTCTTGAGTGAGAGTCTTTCATCGTCTGATCTAACAGAGCTTAGGTCCTTTGTTGCAAATAGGTCTTCCAGCGGGAGCAAGGAAAGCACTTGAGAACTTGGGAGCATCTTTAAATCACTCAGACGCTCGACGGGCTGTCATTTTCAGGGACAGTAGCAAGTCCTTGGCTCTCCTCCTTCACCGAGCAGCCAAGCGCCCGCCCTCGCCCGCAGCGTCGTGGAAGCGCAGGCTCAGCGCCAGCCGCAGC